AACGAATGTAGATGCTCCGGCTTTGATTAAGGGTGTTGGTCTGAAAACGCCAAACCCAGACCCTAAAGCCAGAACGAGTCATCAGCCGAAGCACCGTGGCGTAGAGAAAGAGCCCCAGATTTTTAACTCCGGAATACAAAGGAGAAAAGTACAGGACGATTGTGCAAGTACACTCAAATCCCTGGAAGTGCAGTTGCGCGAAGTCCAGGCGAACCTAGAGCTCTTGAAAAGAAAGGCAAATCTAGCGCGATTTCGACAAAAGACGGTCTTGATCTTGAGCGGTGAAGAACCCCTCANTAAGTCTCGTTAAGTGATGGACCGGAGAAGAGTTCAAGGCGCCCTACGGGCAGCTGGCATGCTACCCGTTAGCATAAGGAGGATATATAGGGTGGAAGAACTCGGAACCAGCGGGATTTCGCAGGGCCAGACCCTTACTTTCTGAGTTCGTGGAACCAACTTGTAGAGATAAATTGCTCGCAAACTCCGAGCGAATTCTGGATGCTATCTGTGGGAGGTATAAAGTAGTGCCTGACATCCCCAGGAGTCAGAACACATGGCAACCGAACGGCAACATATGGCCGGTTGAGCGGAAGTCAATGAACCCCCAACTTAAGAAACAGGTTCCACGGCAGATAAGGCTGGGTAGACTATCCCCTGTCGTAGTCATAGAGGATAGTTTAGAAAGTGAGCAGTGGCAAAAATGCGTGCAGCCGGATTCGGAGGTGAGTAAGGACAGCGATGGCTCCGTAGATGGCTCCGGGTCCACTACACCGCTCAGGAAAACCTCAACGCACAGTGAGATGAACTCGGCCTTAGGGCGTAGAACAGGTACATTTATAGAACAAATTATAGACACGTCAAAAAACTTGTTGTTCCCTCAGGCACTGCGTCCGAGGGTCACGCGAGAACAGGAAAATTAAGAGTCCGGAGGGAGTTAGACATACGGGACGGTAAAGTTTTGGTATTATGTACAAATGTATGCAGTATAGGGAATAAGTGGGGAGAAACCCTAAACATAGCAAATGAATACAAAGCGACCGAAGCAGCCGTCTCAGAATCACGGCTCGTTAGTCATGACCATGTCCCGGCACTGGCTCGTGAAGCCTATGAGATTCATAGACGAAATCGGAGTTCACAGATGCAGGGTGGTGGAGTACTCATATTAGTTAGGAAGGATATCCAACAATTTCGGTTGGATATTCAAGTCTGCACGAGCAACCTACAGATTTGCTCAGTCACCATCACCACCGAGGGGCACAAAACCAACATACCGCGTGTATATTGGAGTTCCAGTGCAATGGAAACGGAGGACGAGCAGCTCCGGTCAGCAATGGATATGCTGGCACGAATGCCTCATACTGGGGACTTCAACCTACCAGGTATGAAATGGGACATCGGCAGTTATTTGAACGATATACAGGAGCAGGGCTTTGTAGATTGGCTGCATCTCAAAGCAATGCACCAGCACGTAACAGAAAATACGCGTTTTAGGTCGGGATAGAAACCATCTCTGCTGGATCTTGTTATCACACGGTACGATAGGAATGAGCAGGAAGTCGGATACTACCCCCCAATTGGAAACAGCGACCACGTGGTCATTAAGTTCACACTAGAAACAAGGCTACCGAAGCCACATGAACTCAAGGTGCGCTGCTTCGGAAAATTAGATGTTAATGGACCGCAAGGCAGCTGAGCTCGTCTGGCAGCCAGCCGAAGATAGGCTTCTAGTGGAGGATGTCTGGAGAATAGTTGAGGAGAACTTACTTGCATTGCAGGATGAGTTCACGCCTCTGAAACTGCGAAAGTCATTCGGTAAACCACCTTGGTGGAAGGCTTCCATTGGAAAGGCAATAAGCCGTCTTAACGACAGCTGGAAACGATATCGGGAGGTAGGATCGCAGCTGTCGTGGATGCGTTACGGAGGACACAGGAANNTTGGAAAGGCAATAAGCCGTCTTAACGACAGCTGGAAACGATATCGGGAGGTAGGATCGCAGCTGTCGTGGATGCGTTACGTAGGACACAGGAACGAGGTTGTGTGCGTTTTTCGAAGCGAAAAGCGAAAATACAAACTACGTCTAACCCAAAAGGAGAGGGCAAAGCCGAAAAGGTAATATGGTCACGTGCAGTCTTAGAGGGTGTTTAGGGACGAAATATGCGCCGTTAACCTGGAGGGCGATAAAATAGTCACAGTGGGACCAGGATTTTGCCATAGTACTAGGGGGATACTTTGGAAGTGTGCTCAAGGAGGACAGATGGTGGGTTATCCCATCTGGAGGGGTCAACATATCCAGACTATTGAGGTCATAGTAGTGACACCAGAGGAGGTGCACAGGGTTCTGTCGGAAATCAACGTAAACAAAGCACCAGGGCCAGACGGGATTCATCCAGTCATCCTTAAACCACTAGCGGATGTCCTTGCTATCCTCGTGAGCCTGCTGTTTCAAGTGTCACCAGCGGGCAGAGTTCTTCCTGGTGACTGGAAGACAGCTACTGTGGTAGCGCTTCACAAGGGCGGTCAGAAATCCGACATAAGAAACTATAGACCAGTAAGCCTCACCAGCATCCTCTGCAAATGCATGGAGAAGCTTATAAGGGAACATGTTTGTCGACATCTTTTCATTACACCCTACTAAGTGGGGCGCAGCACGGGTTCTCAAAACATAGATCCTGTCTCACTAACCTTCTGTGCGACCTGGATGAACTCACAAAAAGGTTAGATGAAGGACATACCTTCGAGGTTCGCTACCTCGATTTTAGCAGAGCTTTCGACTCTGTGAACCACAGAGTGCTCCTTCACAAAATCAAAAGCTTTGGGCTGGGAGGAAATCTGCATACGTGGTTAACCGCTTTTCTCACAAATCGAACCTTCACAGTGAGAGTAGGGGAGGCCAGCTCTCAGTTCATTCGATTGACCAGTGGAGTGTCTCAAGGTTCGGTTCTCGGACCGTTACTCTTCCTCTTATTCATCAACGACTTGGGGGAGGGGGTAACCAACTCACCTGTTTCGTCTTCGTGGATGACGTGAAGGTGGTGGGATCGAATGGTAGGGTTAACCTAGTGAATGACATTGAACGGGTGGTTGAGTGATTAAATAAGTGGGAATGGCACTGCATGCGACCAAGTGTCAACTATTGACCAAGCAAACAGACCCCTTAGTTGCTACCGGAACGTGGGGAGTATTTGAAGTCAAACCGGTAGAAACTGCCAAGGATCTTTGGGTATTAATGAATTCGGATTTCAGCTTTGGCAGCCAATGCGAAATCGCAGCTTGCAAGGCACGGGGAGAACTTTTCCGGCTCAGATCTTTTTGATGCAGAAAAACCGGAAATATTTCTCCCCTAATATAAAGTGATAGTAAGGCCTCATCTAGAATACTGGGTCCAAGCATGGGCATATCTGCACAAAGCAGACCCTGCCTGCCTGAAGAAAGTGCAGGGACTAGCTACAAACATGGTAGAAAGACAGAGAGGTAAATCATACCAGGAAAGATTAAGGGACCTCGATCTATTTTCGCTAGAAAGAAGGCGAATTAGAGGATCCCGCATAGAAATGTTTAAAAGTAGGATGGGTTTCTCTGGAATTCTTCCTGAGAAATTCTTCACTGATGTCCCGGATGCTGGTGAATCTAACCGTTGTTGACGGCCTGCCGGTAAGTCTCATTACGAGTCTCAAAGTGCGCGCGACCTCCTAGTGTCTCGTTGCCCTAGGTAGACAAAAACACTCGTGAGAGTCGTAAACGTTTATTGGCGAATCGTGGCACTAGATAGTACCGAAAAGTACTGAGGTGACGCTAAACAATGCAAGCAATAAATGCAGTAGCAAAGCGAAAGCGTGTCACACGTGTTGCGTGGGTTTGAACAGGAACCAGCTTATATATACACCTGAGCGGAAAACCGTGCTCGGTAAAACAAACAGAAGTAAAACAAAGAAATATCACAGTTGGAGTCAGAGTTGATTGTGAAGAAAATATGAACGGAAAACGTCCTCGTGGATTGCTCCTTTTCTTCGTACAATC